ATGTTAATGGAATGAAGTATCCATCAAATAATTTAATTTATATTGAATTATGATAACCATTTATAAAAAGTTAGATTGATACTGAATTATACAGTAAACCATATAAGAAAAACACATTTCATTTTTAAACACACTATAAGGTAAATATGATCCATTATATGTTAAGGAAAATATTCTTTCATTCACTTATTTGAAAATTATTCACAGGATATACAGCTAAATTGTGGTCTTTTGAAAGAATGACTATATAGTAAGAAAACACTAAAATGTGGAATAAATATAACCTCAATTTAATTAATAAGTACACCAAAAAGCCAAGTTTTCTTTGTTCTCATTAAACAATTAACATAAAATAGCAGCGTAATTGTTTAGTACACATTTTAAAAGAAATATATAGAAAATGTAGTAAAAAATAAAGATTTTGTGAATAAATGAGCCATCAAACTTGCATGTATATAAAATGAATGCTGCAAGGTAGACAATTAAATAAATCTTTCCAGAAATCAATAGAAAAGTCAATGTAGGAGACACATTAGCTGATATTATTTGAAACTTCAGGAGACAGGTCAGAAATAATGAAATTTGTGTGTGTCTAGGCCCAAATCTTTACTGTCTAAACCATTTCTAAGAAGCAGTGATAAGTCACAAGCAGTGTTTCACATCACATTCTCTAAGCAGAAGGATGACACTTATAAGGCTTAGGCAGTTAAAATGAAAAAGGAAGAATAAAATCTTTTAGGTTGCTTTATGTTTGCATCATAGTTAAACAATGTGACTATAAGGTGATCTTAGGGAGTGGGAGGGAGAGACCTACCAAATGATTCTTCTATTACAATATGTCTGCTAAAGAGTCCACTTTTCTTCCACAATGAGCCTAAAAACTCTACGTTGTGAGGCATAACTACTAACTTGTTAATCAGAATAATAAGATTCCAGTTCTTCAGTATAACTAACATTCACACTATTTATAGCTGGCAGATGTACTTTATAGAGCCAGATGTATTTTGGAAATGTGAGGGTACATGCCTTTATGGATTAGCTCCTCCTATGACATGATACTGTATGATGTCGCTGACCGGAGTGCTGAATCAAGACAGCCATGTTGATCACTACTAAATCCAACTGAAAAAACATATCCTGAAGTTCTGTGGAGGTTCAAATGCAAGAATAACTATAGTAAGTTTTTTCTTTATTTTATTTTTTCATCATTCATTCACTGAGTGAGTAGGCAGATACATGCTTTCCTAAAGAAGCTTTATCCAGTGAATTGTATGTATTACTTTGGCATTGAATGAGTAAAGGAAAATCAATTAGATCAGTATTATGGCACTCTATGGTAATAAAGGACCATTTTCAAAAGAAGAAAGGCATTTTAAGCCATCATACATAAAAATGAAGCTTACATTTAAAATAAGCAAACAAAAAAAATCACATTTGAGTCAAAAAAAATTTAGACCTAAGTTTGCTATTACCCATTTTTAAATACAATTTCAGATTGCAAAAGGGTATTTTGAGAGCAAACATCAAAGCATGTGTGATTGGTGAATTAGAAAAAAAACCAATGATATGGATGAGGTCCATGTAATTGCATATACTCATTAACAACAACAAAAAGAACATGAGAGTTTTGTAAAATATTGATGAGTGTTATATTTGGAGGAGTCAAGAAGTCTATAAGAGGCTCTCCTATACATTTGTGTTGTGTTCCAATATTTCTGACAGGAAAAGCTCTTTCTTATACTTATATAAAGTATTTTGTGGACCAGGTCATGGTGCATGTTATTTCAAAAACAGTTGTATAGAAAAAATATATATATGTATATTAATTTACTACTTAATACATACGAGGTAAAAATTTAAGCATAGGACTTTTTTGACATACTGCTTCCTAAAATAGAATGACTTGATATGCAGGAGCCTCAAATTAAAGGTCAAAGGTGACAAACCAGGACAAAGGTCATGTAGCTCATTTTCAAGCAATCAGTTTCTAGTTTTTTCATGGCTGAACAAAAGCTTAATTATGCAAGGGGGAAAAGAGGGACCTGTAATGTTAACTGATCAATTTTCACAAAGAAGGAGAAAGAGATTTAAACAATTTCCCAAATAATTTACATTCTCAATTATGGTTCTTTATACTGAATTGATGCTGATATTAATAGAAATGACACATTTCAGATTAAACACTAAAATGTCTTCCTTAATTTAGTATTTTACCACCTATAAATGGCCTAGATGCTAGTAGCATGTACAATTGGGAACCTGTAGGATGGAATGCAGTCATTTTTCTAAATAGTATATACTAAAGTTCTTAGGTTGCCAGAATGTTTTTATATATATATTTATGCTTTAAACACAATTCTAAAATTGAAAACCATGTGTTCTGACAATGGAATGTGTGTGTAGATGTGCACTGAATTAAAAATGACCCCCTCCCTCCTTTCCAAAAATCTATCCAGAATATATGCCTCTGTCTCTATGGAAATAGCTAGTTTCTACCAATTAAACTGTTTCTAAAACTGACAGTTTTATTTTGTTTGAAGAAACCGTATTATTTTATTACATCTAGTATTGTGTTCTACTACCCTCACTACCTTAAAGAAAGGGGTGTGTGTCGGGGCAGGCGGGGGGTTTCTTTGTTTTTTACTATGATTACATTTTAAAATGTTATTATTTCTCTGTGTGTTTGCATGCTATTTAGGCCAGCTATTTTTAATAATTTAACCCAGTTATATGCTTCTTATATCTATCATCTATATCTATGTTACTGAAAGTACTGCAATGTCTAGAAAATTTTTCAGTCCCAACACATATATGTAGACTATTAAACTGTTGAAAATATTTGTATATTGAGCATTATTTTTGTAATGCAATACTAAGATGAATTTGTTTAGTAATATTTTAGATATAGCATTATTGTACATACTTCATAATAACTTATTGCATATTTGCAATCATTTTTGTAAGAATAAAATAAAATTTGAGAATTCTCATCTCCAAGAATGTAATATCAGTGATATTCTTCTGTATTCTCATTTTAAATTAATAAAAGATTGCAGCTAAAACAGACAAGAACTACCATTGCATTATTTTGTTCAATAACTTCTTATAAATAGAGACTCAAAAGAGTTTATTATATGGAACTATTTTCTTTTACAAATAGGAACATTTCACATACTCTGCATTACCCACAATTGTGTGAAAAAGAGACTGTCAATATTAGATTAATGTAAGTTCTGTAAGCACTGTTTTTTTGACAAACCACACATGATATTTTATTTTTCATATATTTTCTTTATCTTGGTTATTTTATTTCTGTTAAGTTCTTAATATTCACACCAAAAAGAAGATCTATTTAGGAGCTGAATTTAAGTTTGTGAATCTGTTAGATTCCTAAATAATTCACGAATACTGTAATAATTACAGAAAAACCTGCTGTTTTCAGAAGCTAAGTGTTAACTCCACGAATAGTAAATCTTAAAGTACAAATGAATTTAAAAATGTTTCTGTAGAATGTATAACCAATCATACTGAAGCTTTTACAGAACTAGGAGAGGTTTTTTTAGACATAGAATATTTTTCAAGTAAAAATTTAAAAAGTAGTGCAATGTATATAGAACAGCAACTTCATCCACTGAAGTAGTTTTTCCATGGTTAAGTTCATATGGGCAAAAAGTACTTTTACCACCTGCCTGCAAATTATAAATTATACAGCTTACCACTTCATTTTATTTATAGACCCATAAATCTTTTAGATTTTGGCTTAATAATTGCATTTAATTTGAGGCTTTGTTGAATTTAGGAAAAGGTTATAAACACAGATTCAAAATTTGATTCAGTGTGCTATTCATACCTCATTTATACTGGAGAGGATAAATCTAATGTAGTTTATGTGGAATGGAAAAGCTGTATATATATATTTTTTACAAGCTAAAACCTGAATGATTTTTAATTTACAATATTGCCATAACAGCTCTTATTTGACTTGCCTTTTGATATACATATTTCCAACATTTATTAAGCATTATTTAATTTGTGAGCACATTCTTAGAAATGGTATTTCATATTAATATAAAATACATTTACATTTGATTAACTTTTAAATTACTTGAATACAAATTAAACAAGTGATCATAAATGGGCTTTACAGAGTTAATTTTTTTTTAATAAGTAATGTTATAATAGTTATTTTTAAGCTTTTTCCACCCTATTCCGATCTGTTTACATTTTTCATATTTGCAGTAAACTATGGGGGTCTGAGAGAATTAATAACAGAGATGCTCAGATTCAAAATGTTAAAGCTGTATAATGGATTAAATGACATTCTGATAAGTTTAATACATTTTTTCTTAATGTGCCTATCTGTAGATTTTGATTTTCAGTAGACATACTTTTTCATTGTTTTGTATGTGTATAATAAAGAAATCACTATTGATATTTTACCAATAAAAATCTAACCCTTCCAAGCATAATAATAAACTATGCAAAATATCTAATACATTTGAATTTTTTTATTTGTTTCAGTCACAAGTATTCAAGTTCTTGTGAACAAAAGAACAATATTAGCTACTTCTGGAGACAGTCACTTTGAAACCTAGTTCAGTCCCATTAAAAGAAGATATATTTATGACTTCATTTGTGTGAGAAAATGCAAATTGCTCCAGTTTGGACAAACTGGCTTTAAATTACGATTTTACATGCTAGCTATAAATGTGAATAAAATGCAGAAAGTATGAACAAGTACATAAAAGATTAAATAGTTGTTTTTGAAAATATTTTACATTTAGACAATTTTCATTTCCTTGACAGGTAAAATTGGTTACAATTGTATGAAAATGTGGTCACTAGTCTGTCATAATTTTTTAAAATATTCAGAATATTTTCTACTTATGATTTTTATATGCTTCTAAATAGAGAATACAGAAAATAGATAATATGGATTAAGAACAATTAAACTCACTAAAAAAGAATGAAAAATAATTTTATTGAGTTGTATTTCTTTTATCGCTCTACTATTAAAAAAATGTAACTTAAGTGCATATTATTAAAATTTTAGCCTCTATGATCTTGGGGTCAAAGCACATAATTTAAAATAAACTAAACATTAAATTGAATGATAGTATTCAACTTTCAAGAGTCAAATGCTGGTCCTTTTTGAATCAGTGGCAGACATCACACCATTAAAGTCAAAGCAACTAGTTATCCACATTTACATTGCTTCACTAGAACAGTTTAGCATCTTGATATCAGTGGAAGCAAATTTTGTCCTTATGTACTCCTGATCCAAATGAACTTCAATCGAAGTCTAGTAACTTAATGTGAGTAGAACTAGACCTTCTGGTTATCAGAAATGCCTACATTATTGTGTACCAAATAGTCCACACCTTAACTCCTTTCATGTGTCAGCAAAGCATAAACTGATCATATCACAAAATTATTAAACACAAAATATTCAGAAGTTCGGCTCAATAAAGAAAGATTAACTTCTTTTTTCTGATAATTAAAAAGAAAAAACAAAACCAAAAAAATCTCAGTTTTGGGAATTTTATTAAAAAACCATTTCCAGATAAATTCTTGAATTTAGAAGATAAATAAAGGAATTACTTTTCCCATATATGCTATGTCACAACTCTTCCTAAAACATTTAGTGCAATGCTCACAGTATTGGGATGGGAAGAAAATTGTGAACACAGTTTTAGCAATGTATTTAATTACACAAGAAAATGAAATTAGTTATAGAATTTAAGAGAATAAATCAAAGGAATTAATTTTGTATGTTTAGCAAATTATACAATATTGAATAGCTAAGCCATTGACTTGAGGTGGTGGGTAAACAGTTCTGGTGTTTTTCTATTTGTTTTATTTCCAAAATTTCCAGATGTTTTGAATATTACACAAATATTACATAATTTGGGGTTTTTTTAAATATCTTATTGAATCCTTTATTTTCTTTTGATATTTTGTTAATATATACCTTTAAAGACACAAGGTTTAAACCATCACTTTTCTTTTAAACTACAGATACTTCTAAAAATTCATAAACATTTTAGTATTTGTTACGTGTCAAGTAATTTGTTTAGCATTCCTCTGCAGATTTGTAACCAAGATAGTGGAGCAGGTTAGTTCACTCACTCACAATTTTAAAGTGGTTATAAGCAAACAAACAAACAAAAACTGATTAGTCTGTGTTACTGTCCAGCAGCTGAATGAAGTGCAAAAGATAAGTATACACTACATATAGTAAAATTGATTTTTTAAAAATGTACAGTTTTTAAACAAAATTAATATTGCTACAAGTTAGTTTTAAAAAGAGTACTTGGCATTTTCTCTTAAAGAAACAGCTTGTATAATATTTATGCATTCACAATAAAGCTATGACATGTGACCTGAAATCCTTAAAAATTCCACCCTAAAAAAAAAAGTTTTAAATAGAAAATTAAAAAAATCCTGTATTTCTTTGCTCCATATCAAATTTGCTAATTAGTGAGTAGTAATTTTATTCTTAAATATAATATCTTTGTGTTCTGACATTTTTATAATGGTGTTTTAAATAATATTTTTAATTAAGCATGGAGTCCACTCTTGCTCTCAGTGAAATCTGTCTTAAATTTTTGTTCTAACTAATCTCTGAAATAGAGCAAATGATTTTATATATAAACAGAAAAACTATAAACACCTGATTTTCTATCCCTATTAAAAATAGCCATTTTTATGGCTATATAATTTTGTCGGTCAGTGAGAATTTTTGGGGACAAATACATTTATTATAGGCAAATTTTGAAAAATTATTAAAGCTAATGTTAAAACTATATAATACACAGGCTGAGACGACTCTACATCTGGGTGTTTAGGTTATCCACAATTGCAAAGTTTGTTTTAAAGTAGTAAGACACATATAGAGTATAATCTGTTCTTACCCAAATTTAAGTGAATTAATTTAAGAATATAATTTAGATATTTAGCATCCAGGTATTTGGGTACATTACACATGAGTCAAGAATAAAGATTATACAAGTAGTTCATGGTGGAAAGCAAAATACATACATGAGTGAAGAATTTTACTGTCTTTTAATATCTAATATGAATTAATTGCCAAAGAGACAGTTAGTGGCAAGAGAAAAACCTGAATTTTTTTAGCATGTTATCTGTAACAAAGGTAAAGCTTATCTCATACATGTAATTTATGACCTGATATAACTTTCACTCTCCTTGCAGTAGGTTTGATTTTCCGTTGTGTGATGATTGCATCCAATCTTCAAATTTATTCCTATGAGTAGTTTCTACTCAAGCAGGTTAGGATAAAATGGTTAAAATAATGATATACTTTTAAATCAAAGAATAATTTCTCCTCCAAAACTTCTTGGTAGGCTTAGTTAGTATATAAACCTTGATTACCATTTATTAATTATATTAGCAATTGTGTAGCATATTTAAATTTTTATATAAATTAATATTAATTGTACTAGCAGATCCCAATTTGCTTGAAATGTTTATATTTTAGAAGTGTACGAAAATACTAACCTATCATCACTTTTACCATTAGCTGCTTTAAGGCCCAAACCTGCTCTCATTTAAATGAGTGATTAAATTCCTATTGCCGTCAATATGATGTATAGGATATATGATAACCAGTTTTGTTTCAACTATTCAGTTTTAAGAATTTAATAGAATTAGGCTGTTCAGACTTTTGAAGTTAGTTTTATAAACTTGCATTTCTTACAATTACTGCTATGGTAAGACTTCTGTAGCTGATTAAGAAACATCATATCTTTTAGAACGGTTATACTTTCTGTATAATAACCTGTTCTGATGTTTATATGATATCCACATATTCATATACATAATGTTTACAAATACATTCAGGTGACAAAAACAAGTTTTCTTTAAAATCCTACCTAATTTTCCGGGGGTATCAATCTCTGTAGTTACTGTAGTTCTTAATACATTTCTTTTCCAAAGTACTTTATTTTTAATCCTCCCATAAACTAAAACACATCACCTGTCAAAGCCAGGGACGGATCTCTTACTCTGTTTGCATATTTTATTATGCTGCATAAATAATGTAGCTAAATCCAAGAGACAAAAGCCACACAGCTGCAGGTTGGCAGAAGAGCCAAGTAAAAACAGGGATTGAGCTGTAATAGCTGAAGGTATAAAAGTAGGGTTGGGTGGTAATATTAAAATTATAAACAACTCTACTGGAAAATATAACTTGTTATAGACGATCATAGAAGAAAAACTTGAGGGAAGGAAGGAAAAATTGCACTGCAATTAAAAACTGACTATTACCTTTTCTAGTTGCTAATGTTGTAAAGAGGTGGGGTTAACTAGAGGATAAGAAGTTAATATACAGAAATTTGATTCTCGCTTGTCTTTGGCTGTTCATACAGTGAGAAGGAAGGTGAAGTTTACACATTTGCAGGGAAAGGTCAGTCTCAGTCAGGACATTCTCTTCAGTTGCAAAAAAAAAAATCTCCATTTTCTTTAAAGGGAGAAGAGATTTAGATTCATATCCAAAGAGAACAATATGAAGTGGTTTATTTGCTTTGGATGGCTAGTTAGAGTATATACAAATCAGGTAGAGGGAGACAAAAAGGACATAGGCTTGTAGCAGGTGAGTTTGTGCATGTTCAAATATATTCATCTTCCTTGCTCTAAACAGTCTGCTCTGCCTGAGCAATAGTCGCTTTCCTTGAGTGCTATGTACTATGTTACTGCATGGCATTATCATGCTATGAAATCATACAGTTCCTGCTCAATGAGAAGTAGATCCTAAATACATCTAGCACCAACAAAGTTATATTGTGTGTTGGTTTCTGATCAAATATTTGTGTTAATGTATTGAGACTTTGTAAAGATTGGTTTAAAATGCAAATAATTGGGATTTTGCTGGTACCAAAGAGAAGGCATTTTCTTACTGATACTTTTCGGTTGATATTATGACCTCTAGTATTGAGTACAATTTGACCAAAAATTTATATCAAGATATTTCCTTTGAATGTCTTTCTGATTATATGTAAAGCCACAAACTGACTAATTTCTTTTATGAATTAAAGGTGTACAATTTAAGCATGGCAAAGTCAACAACCACTAGTACTTGAGTTACCTATTGTGATAAAATATTGATAAGTGAAAACAACACCTTGCAGTATTCAGCAAATCCGTGTATTTTGATTTTCTCATTAACTTTTATAAGAAGGCTATTAATGCAGCAATGTCTTTTAAAAAATGGAAAAGGTCCCACCCCATGTCCCCCCTTATTGTAACAGGCTGATTGTTACAGGTCTTGGTTATCTAATTGTGGTTGTGATGATCTAGGTAAGTCTCAAAACAGTTAAAAAGTTTACAGGTCACTTCACAGAGTCAAAGTCCTGGCATTTTATGGCCTTCTAATGAGCCGTTAAACTGGAGAAGGGCTAATTAAATACGGTGCTCTGGTACAATTTGCCAGCTAGTACTGACTTTAGCTCTCTGATTTTAGGTTCTTCAGAAGACGATGAGATCATTCAAGAAGGTCTCCTCAGGCTCAGGTCAGTCTTTTTTAATATATGCATATTAAAGTCTTATATGGCTGACTTTTCATATATGCTTGGGTAATTGGTATTTGATAACTACTTCATGTCTCCAACTCCCACAACAATGAACTATAATGAATCTAATTCTTGTATGGAAAAGTGCAATTAGAAAGAAAAAAAATCATTTTCCCCAAATTTGATTTTGGAGTTCTTGATTGGTCTAACGGTTTGTAAATGAAGTTTGTTTTCTGGGCTGAAGCAGAAAGACACAATACAGTGTTTATTCTGAGGTGTCATTCGGTGAGCTTAAGTAATGAATTTATAAGTAATGTAATCTTTACATAGATTCCAGCAGGACACTTAGAGATGGCTATGTGACACACCGTAGTTCTTCTAACAGGGCGAGTTGTTAATGACAAACAATACATTAGTATAGCAAACATATGAGCGATGGGAAAAGGTAGATACCTATCTTTAGCGATATTAAGTTGGTTTTTAATGACTGTCAGCATGTCATTCTGCACCATCCTCACATTCAGATAGTTCTTGCCTATGTCTATTTTTTAGTCTGTGCTTTAGTTGCTAAACATTTTACCTGGATTCTGAAGCCGAACCCCCCCCCCCCCCAAAAAAAAAAAAATTCACTGCCTGGTCAGGTTTAATTAGGCAGTTTCCATTGATTTTATTCTCTGGAAGCTGCGCTAACAAATCCCGTATTTCACTTTGTAATTGGTCACCTGGGAAAACTCAGTCGAACTACACTCCCTACAGCAACACCCCCGCTGTTCCCATTTTGTTTCTCCATTTGCCCACTGCCTGCTGGGTGGCTCCTTAAAACACAATAGCCGTGCGGGTGGAAAAGGCGTGAGCATGGTTGCTTACCTTAATTTCTCAAGAGTTGACGTAGTAGCCTGCGTCCGTCCAGCCCTGCTCCGGCTCTGTAGCATAGGGCACTCCTGCCTGCTGCCCACTGAAGTTTCGTGGTTTTGGCTGTTTTCCAGTTGCTACTTTTTTGTGTTGGGCGCATGCCTGTTAGGAGGCGGTAAGGTGCGCCTGACGTCACGCAGCTAGCAAATAAAAGAGGGCGGAGGTGTTCTGGTGCTCTTTTATCCCCTTCCCTGGGGCACTGAACACCATACCGCTGCATGAGGCTAATGTAGCCCAGAGGCACAATAGACTGGGAATTCCGTACATGCTTCATCACGAGCCACGCCTTGTGTTTAAGGCGATGGCTTTGGTCAGCTGGAACCATTCCGAATATTTAAAGGGCAGCCAGCGTCCATAGCCTCTAGCCTCTCACCACAATGGAGAGCTACAAGTGTATTTATACATGCTACATAATGCAAACCCACCCTCTGATTATACCTCTGCCTAGGGCTTCAGGCTGCTGCTTTGGGAGTGGTGGTGGTGACTGCATATGGGAGCACAACTGATCCCACAATCTTTATAGTTAGCAATATATCGTAGTATGCGTTGTTACTAAAAATGGGTATCGGAGACGTGTCTACCTGCTCATTGGGGGCTGCCTTAAATTCACATTCGCGCGCCGTAACCCAATGTGTGCTGTCACTGCTCTGAAGCTTGAAATCAGGATGAGACCAAACGGCTTTGGGGAGCAGCTGCAATCTTTATTTTCTAGGCTTGTCTTCTACCTATGCAGTGTCGCATACAATGTCTCCTTATGTGCCATCTATTTTGAATACTTGTCAGTGTGATTAGAGGGATTTTACAAGAGGACGCTTCATTTAGGGCTGTTTTTCCTAATATAGCCACGTTTTCCGCAAGTTACGGTGGCGCCTCCTTAAATCTGACGATGGAAGCAATCCTTATCAGTTGCAAATCCGCAGTTGAAAAACTGCCTAATGTACATGAGGCCACAGCCGCAGTGAGCTCTAGAAGGGTCTCAGTGTCCTAATGCCCTTGGATTACGTCTAGGATTAGAATAGGTTCGGGTGTTTTAATAATGCCTCTCCAAACCATCAATTTTACAAGCAAAAATGCAGAGTGCATTGTTAGATGTTCCAGATTGTTAACAGTTTCACTTTCAGTATCAAAATGTGTTATATTGTTACCATAAACTATTTAAAATCGCCTACTTTAACCTTCCCTCCCCCAAACTCTTGTTTATTTATTAATATAGCACCGCCTATGAACGTGAAACACAAAATACATACTTTGATACAAAATATTTTAGCCAAGAATGAAGAGGAAATAGTGGTTGGCAAATATTACTTAACATATTCAAAGTTCAGACGTAAACATTGGATAGGTTCCAGTCGTTCACCTACGTGACACATTTTTTTAAAAACCATGCGATCAGCATCAAGTTGTTAAATACGTGTCACCATTTTCGACTGCACGATGACGTTAACTTTTTCTAACGTGATCAAAATGCAAATGGCTGGCTAACTGTCCATTTTTATGGTTGAATAAAATATTTAATAAATTTTGGAAAACAATTGACATTTAACAGATCATTACATGAATCGATAATTAACACTAAAATAATGTAAAGCATGTAAATAGCGAAGGTATTAGCATAACATGCCAGTAACTTAGTATTCAAACATACAAGTGCATATTAGATTTTTTTCATAGTTTTTAATTATGGAGAGAACAATTAATTCGGAACGAGGTTTATTTAATTTAAATTTTAAAATAAGCCTTAAGAAGCGTCTTCGGTCAAAAAGTATAAGATTTTCCCCTATATTATAAGAAATACTTCAGGTGAGGAGTAAAGTCCTAAGTTCCTACAAAAAACCCCCCACACCACCTGATATTTAAGTGTTAACTTTTATAGTCGGGACAACGGAGTCGTCGAAAAAGGTAAAGAAATCAACGTAAACAACAGTGAAATGGGGAAAAGAAGATAGGTTCCCGATTTTTTGTTGAATTCATTCGCTTTATCAGTGGTTCCCAAACTTTTAGGCATCACGCCCCCTTTTTGATTTTTGAGAAACCCTCACGCCTCCCCCCCCAAAATAGCAGCAAAACTTGAGGAAAAAAAGGAACTGACTGGGGCAGCAAAACTTGATGGGGGGGTCGCCTCGCGCCCTCCCACCCTGGAATTTCTTCACGCCCCCCAGTTTGGGAACCCATGCTTTATCTGGTTTAGGGCGTTGAATTTCCTCTCACTGTCTTTCTGTACACAGCCCAGGGATCTTGACATTAGGGCTAAGGAGGAATGTTCAAAGTTTAGGAATAGGTAACACTGGCAGACACTCAACAAAGCCAGCCCAGCGCCGGTGAATGATAGAAAGTGGTATGGTGGGGTGGGTCATAATGACATGAAAAGCAGTCATATCCACCAGACTGTCTTGCCTTCTCCCGCCTACTGCCTTCTAGCCGCTGCGATCAGTTTCATTCATTCCTCTGGTAGTTTGAGCGTGAAGACTATCGAGGGAGGGGAGAGTTCTCTGACCAGGGGATCATGACATGGACGGCTCAGGAGAATTCTTCAAAAACTAAAGGAAAGACAAGGTGCTGAACCCAGTGGTGCCAGAGGTGCTACCGCACCTCATTTGAAGTGCCTTCCATCATATATGGTCCAGTGGTTCTTAGCACCCCCGCCACACAGACACTATGCACATTTTTCCTCCCCCCTGCTAAAGGAACAGCTAAGCTACCTCGATCCTGCGGGACGGAGCGAGTGTGCACAGCAAAGAACAGCTTCTGGGTGTGGGGCTTTTTCCTTAAACTTGCAACTTTCAGGGCGGGGCATCCCTACAGGTAATAGCCTGGTGAAACTGATGCAGTGCAGCAAAACACCCGGTAACAGGTCCGGTCCGCCTAGGCGGCCACGCTGCGCTGCTCAGTTGGCGGGACCTTGGGGATCCCCTGCCGTGGGGCGGGGCAGAAAATTGGCTGCCTTGGTGGAGGCAGGCCCGGGTTGGCTGGAGGCAGGAGGTACCCGAAAGGCGGGAGTACGCCGCCGGCTCCCACGTGGGGCCAGGCTTGGAGAGTAGCAGCTTGTCTGGTGGGTGCCTAGGCAAAGCCAGGAGCGCCCGTCACCCGGGTCTGGAATCTGGTTCCAGGTGGGCGAGGGGAGATGGGTGGGTGACTTGACCAGCCAACGCGGCGCTGCCCCTCCCCCTCGTTTCCGAAAGAACCGCAGCGTCGGGTCTGGTTTTAATAGAGACCATCGCGCTAAACACCAGAGACTTCTGAGCTGCAGGAAAATAAAGGAGCCCAAGCGCAGCGCGCCGGGGCTCTCTCTCCCCCCCACACTGGCACGTTTGAGAATGGGCCGTCGCTGGCTCTGGGAAGAGGATTTGGGGAATTCCAGCTCCGGGCGATGACACTAGTTCAAAAAGAAAATCTCTCCCCCCTCCCCACAAATCCCTTTCTAGGTGGTTCTCGCAGGGCAATGGCAGAGGCGCGCGCTCCTGCTTTTCTTGATTAGCCACCCGAGCCGAACTACAGAGTGTTTTTAAAACATGGGGCATGGAAGCTGTCTGAAGAGCTCGGTTTTCACAGTGTCAAACATGAGTTTTGATTCAGATACATGAGGTGGGAGGAGTGGAAGCGGCATTGAAAGAAATCGGAAATGAGAAAAAAATTAAAGCCAGAGAAGTTTTAGAAACACGACAAATTAGAAAACAGGCAGCAGAGCGCGGGGCGGGGAGGGGTGGGGGGAGGTTGATGCCAAAGGAAACCCTGGAACGGCTTCATGAATCCGACTCTTTCTCCGTGTAATAATCTCAACGAAAAAGCTTGTTTTGTGTGAGGAGAACAAGTCGAGGTTAAAGACAGCGGCATCTCTCTAACGCGTGAAATATGACCGGGATCCTCGAATTTCCCCGACCCGGGTGTGCTAAAAAAAAGTGTTTGTTGCTGATTGTGAATGAATTTTGGAATGAGAGTTCCCAGCTGGCAACAGCTCTCTACCTTCCGCAAAACTTGAAAGGCTTATGTCCCTTGCAGGAAATGAATGAGCCGATAACATCTGACACCAGTGACCAGTCCAGTGACCCCAACCTTAATTCCACTAATACTGGAGGCCTGAAAAATCTCAGTGAAAACCACTTGTGAAGCTCCGTTCCCCCCTCCCCGAATAATTTACAAAATCAGCATTTATGTTGAAGCGAAGGAAATCCTTTCCACATTCACATTTCTTTTGCTGTGTTCACACTCCTCACGTTACTCTGATAAAAAGCATAAGATTTCAATGCTTTTTACAAAACTCAAACTATCTGGAAACAAAGGACAATTTCTGTATAAAATACAGGAAATCAATTCAATGTATTTGTTTCCAGGATGAGTAAAACCAATAGTCTAGTCTTTATAGCATTTTTTCCAGCCAAATGCCAAGAGAGAAGACCAATCTGAGAAAAATACACACTCTTATAAAAGATACTGTAAAAAATCATGTATATAGATGCCTCCTGGTTTTTGTAGGCATATAAAATATTTGATATTTTCATATACATACTTTCAGTCTTTTTCAGTCTCCTTGTAGAAAATACTTTAAATATGTATTCCCTGCAGCTGCCTTGCTCTTATTTTTCCACTAATTATATCAAAATTGAAATCATATATAGCAGATCTTATATAAAGGGGAAATATTTAGCTTTTAATTTTCAACCTACATAAAGTGAGTTGAATACTAATTTAACTTTGTAAACTAATTGCATTTATTAGGAAGAGGAAACGAAAGGGGGAATGGCTTATTGCATAAATGTGTAAGGCAGGTCAGTGTAGGAAGTCGACCTCCACTGTTGAAATAACCTATAGGAAATTTACGGTTGAAGACTGCAAAGGAATTTCAGGATTTAGAGCTTCTGCTCCACTTGCCAGATTGCTTGTATTTTTACACTTTTGCCTACCCCCACCTCTTTTTAACAAATGTTCAAGTGGGCACCTTATTATTTCAAACAGAAATTAAAGACAAAGGAGAGCGATTTACACTTTCCTTGAAAAGCAACAAAAAGAGTAAACAGGCCCAACAGAGCAAAGGGGTTTTGCTTAATTGGGCAGACTGCTTGACGCCATCTCTATAAACAGCAAGTGATTTGCAATTTTATAAAACAATTGTACAAAATCTGTGTGGGTCACAGTTTGTCGTTTTGACTTTTTATTTATTTCTGTTTATTGTGAATGCAATAAGGGGGTAGAGTGGCGGGGTAATGCCACTTCAATCAGAAAATAATTTAACCCCGTTTTCTCGGATTTTAACAAGGTACATAATCTATCTTTTAAATGTTACAGGGGCAGGAGAGTCACCAAATCTAAGTTTATGATTGTGCAGTGAATTGGATGTTTGCTCACATGAAAAGATGGGCATGGTTTTATGTTTTTCATAACTGCACGGTCATGTATTTTATCCATGTCCTTTTTTCTAGGAAGAAAACAAAGGAAATGGGCACTTTTGATTAATAAGTTTTTTATATATTTAGGAAAATATTATCTGAAACACGTTGTATACGAAGTACAATAGTAGAAATGATGTCTATGTTCTTTTCCTACTGTACCTGAGAATTCCAATGCTTAGTGAATAGTAAAACCCGTTAGGTAATTTTTTTTCTTTTGTATGTTTCACTCTCCCACACACTAGTACTGGAGACTTAAAACTGCAGTCTACAGCCCAGCATTATTCCTCTTCCTTTTGTCTTCTTCCTCCTTTTCTTTTTTTCGCCTTCCTCCTCCCTAGCAAATCCTCCTTTTCTCTTTCAGCCTTTCCTCATCCTCCTCCAGCACCAGCACCATCACCACCATGCTCACCTAGAACAATCGCTGCTGATTAAGGTTCACTCTAATGCTAGGCTTGGAAACTGGGCTCTTATTTAGGAAGTCATTAATCACATCCCCTCCCCCGGAAAGAGATGGCGGAGGAACCTGTGAAGTGCAATCCCTCACCCCATCCCCCTCCAAAAATGTTTTGAAACGCTAAACCTCAACACACTGTGAACCGTATTAAGGTGATATAGCGTTTCCGGTACGCGTTGCTTTTGACTATGAAATAGTCAATTTATATGCCGACACCAAGTGTGTTGTGTATGCTTTTGTATAGAGTACATAGGACGTTTTCCTGGGAACCTACGCTGTTGACGTTAAAATAAGGTGATCAGGCTGCTAAATTCCACGAAGCAGTCGATTTTTGGCTAGCGCGTCTACAGGAGAAAAAAAAGTCGCTGAAAGGCAAAAATGCAGTTATGATTCACATGTGTTGAAATACCACTTTTATTAAGGAAGTAGCAATGCCTGCAAATACGCAGATAATTTGTGTACACACAATGTGCGTAGTAAGGTGTATATCTGCACAGAGTGCTTCTGTGGTTATGCATACACACAGAGCAAAGGTGATCATGTATACTTTGTGTGCCTGTTCACATATAAGATTGCCTCCCTGTGACTGACCACATATATAGTAATAAGTTCAGTTATACGTCTGGGGGCGCGGTGTAGCTCCATATGGAGCTGTACGTGTCTCTCTATATGTGTGCACACACGCGCACAGAAACCCCCACAATACGTCATCCCGGTTTACCGTAAAGTGTGCAAATTAGATGTAAGACAAGTTCGTATTTGAATTTTTCTTGTTCATTCATAAATTATTTTGGTGTGTCATCCTACGCTGAAATGGCGATTGGCTACTTCAGACTCCTGCCAACCCCTTAAGGATCCGATGTGAAATTAGTTGCAAGAAAGCATGTAATTGACAAAGTCACGTGTGCGCAGGGGGCCAGAAACTGAGGGAGAGAGAAGGGGAAAAATCAAAAGAGGGGAAGCACATTAGACCATGCGAGCTAAATTTGCGATCGTTCAAAATCAGGATGTTAGATTGATGCAGAAGACCACTTCGATCCAAAAGGAAAGTTTTCATCTCACGAGTTTGAAGCAGAGGGCCCGTGGGGCAACATGGCCGAAGGTTAATTTTCTTATTCTATTGTTTTTACTGTGATTTTCTCTCTCTCTCTTCCCCTCCCTCTCCTCTTTTTTTAACACCACTATGCGCTACTCTCTTTTTTTTTATCAGATCGCGCAAGGGGGGCTTTCTACAAACCTATTGATACGGATTTCCAAAAATGTTCTGTACCGCCCACACCGATTCACAAACTTGAAAGGCTTTCAGGGGGCTATTGTTTGAATTGTTCCTGGGCGACTAAGCACGGTTTCAGGGGTGGGATGAGAAAACGCCTGTACACCTGTCCCCCCAACTTTAAGTGAGAGTTATTCCAAAAGGGGGAGGGATGGATGCACGTTGGAAAATAGCCCTAGATCCGCCGCTGCATGTGCAATAACAAGTTGTTGTGCAATCTGCCCCCTTTTGGGCTCATTCTCTCTCCACCCCCGTCGCGCTTTGCAAGAGGAGAACAATTTACCGAAGAATTTCTGTTGGAAAATGGGATCGGTCCTAAATCAGCAATATTCAAGTAAAGTTGCGTGTTCGGGGGCGTTGAGTGGCTTGAAGTTGTCGTGAAATGGAAAAATACGCGTAGATACAGGACGTGGGCTGTTCTGTGCGAAAGAGAGCGGGCATATGCGGGCTTTCCTCTCGGCTTGCCTGCGTGCTTTTTGGGCAGTGTGTGTATGTGTGTTTTTAAAGGTTTTGCGTGGAGGGATAGGAAACGGGCTGATATTATAGTAAGCGAGTGAGTTTCTCTTCCCGCTTAGTAACCCCTCTGTACAATGGGATGGCAAATGATCTTTACCAGAATTTAACTCTCTGCTTTGCATCTTGTGTTTTTTCCCCCTCCTCCTCAGCAGGGGCGAGTAAAGGTGGAGACGAGCCCGGAAAGTTGCCGGCGCAGGAAGAGGAGGAATCCCAGGTTTTACACGGAACAGGCCATTGCAAGTGGTTCAATGTGAGAATGGGATTCGGGTTCATCTCCATGATCAACCGGGAGGGAAACCCCTTGGAGTCTCCAGTTGATGTTTTTGTACACCAAGTAAGAGCAACTTTTGTCTCCCATCTTTTTCAATCCCTCCCCTTTTGGACTGAGTTCAATGGTGATCGAGTTACACTGGAAGGGAAACAATCTATCGTTTTAGATATTTAGATACATCTGTATCTATATTATATTTAAAAAAACTGCTGTAAGAATGGGTTGGTTATCTTTGCATCACCCTCTAAACTCAAATAAGATCGGTATCCATAGTTGGTGGATTTGGCAAAAGAATATTTTATCTCATAACAATGCTGTGCCAGGTACAAAGTTTCCCTTCTCAATTGTTTTAAATCTCACATCCTGTTTTTAATAAGATTTAAACTTTTTAGGTATGTCATTTGCTTAGGAGCGGATAGGTTCCTCTGTGCAAAGGCGTTTGTTTTTAAAAACAAACAAACAAACATGGAAAAGGGTAAATAAATAAATTTGGCATTTAGGTTGGATATGAACATATTTTTCTTGTAACACTCTTCCTATAAAATTAGACCATTTTTAAAAGTAATTCATCCCAGATTAATTTGGGGAAAGTAAATGTAATTTGTAGTTTGATTTTGTAGTAATACAGACATGAAAACATCCCTATGATAATATGTGACTC